AGATTCACATAGACTAAACATCCCTTAACCAATGTTTACTGAACTCACCAGATAATCAAAGTTTTCTCTCCCCTCTGAAAAACATACCGTCTGAGCAAAGGCTCTCAAACTTGAGTGGGCCTTGGAATTAACTGAAGCATTTGTTAAAACACAGATTGCCATCCTCTCCTACTACCCAAGAGTTCACAATCCAGTACGTCTGCAGTGAGACCCCAGAATTTACAGTCCTAACAAGCTCCCAGGTGACACTAATGCTGCTGACCCAAACACCCACTTTAGAGAACCACTATTTCACGGTACGCACCTGCTCACCTCTTTTCCTATCACCGAGCTGTCTGATGAACAAAGGTCAGGTTCCCAAACCTGTACACTCCAGTTGAAATTGTTTATTGTACTTACACTAGCTGATTGTCACGCAAATGTACAAAAGGGATTCATTTTCAAGTTACCTGTTGAATTCGATGTGAAAATTCTGTGAAATATTGGGAGACAGTCATAAAAATCTTGGATTTTGTATTCAAAGTTCCTCCCAAGTATCTTTAATTTTTCAGTCCCACTAAAAGTAAAAATAGTAGGTGATGAACTGCATGGTGTTAAACATATCAAGGGCACAATGGACATGAGGAAATCTGGGAGTGACAGACATGCTCCTCTTCTTGGTTGTGATGATCTTTTCTTGGACGCGTGTATGTGGGATAAAATATATTAATGTCTGCTACTTCAAAATGCAACAAAAGGTGGATGGATATTACAAAACCATGTATAATGAAATATTAACAGAATCTAGGTGGTGAGAATATGGCGTTTCATTGTACCATTCTTTTAACTCTTTTGTATTTTAGAAAACTGTCAGAAGATATTCGGGAAAAATTAGTTTATAACCTTTGACCAAAAAAAATCTGCTTATAAGATAGTAGTTATTATGTGACTCCATTTTTTGCTTATGTATGTTTGTGTGTTTACAGAAGTATATGTATGTATATGGGCATATCATTACGTATGTTGCATATTCATCTGTGCCCTCTTCACCAGATCTGTCCTTCCAATTCACTTAAAAATACTCAAGTCTTTCCTATCCCCAAACAATACAATACAAAACAAAAAAGAAACCCCCTCAAATTCTCATCCCTCTCTTCAGCTACTACTAGGTCACTTTTATTCCCTTTCAAAGCCATTTATTAAAGAGGTAAATACACGTTCTGTGTCCATGTCTTCACCTACTCCGTTATGGCTTGTCTGAAAGCTCCAGCAAAATGGCTCTTGCTCAGCATACCAATGCTTTCTACGTCACTAGAACAAACGGACATTTTTCAATTCTCATCCCCGCAGAATGCAAAATATTAAATTCACCTACTTTTAAATTTGAAATGAGGGAAGGAAACTTTATTTGGTATGTAAAACAAGCTTAAAAAAAAGACTTCAATTTCATATCATGGCCAAATTAGAATATGAAAAGGAGGAAACTTAAGGGATGAAATCAAGAAAAAGGAAAAAAAAAGAAGAAGATAAAACTATAGCTCAAAGAATAAATGTCAATGGCCTATTTTCATTACCAATTAATTTTACTACATTTTGAAATCTTAGCACAGTAATCATTCACATCTCTTCAACTGGCTTAGTCATATCTATAGAAGCTTTTATCTATCTATAGAAGCTCTATCTTAAATGGGTCTTTTAAATGGGTCTTTCAAACCACGTATCTATGTAGAAATTATTCCCTGAGTTATAACAACAATAACCAGAGAACTAGGTCCCTAAGCATCAGACAAATCCGGCTGAGTATCAAAATTAGTGCAGAAACCACTTCCTAATCTTCAGATGGGCTCCCTCAAAGACTTGCACAGCACACCGACAGCATGTACCACGGCATCTCCAAGTCCTTCAATGATTACAGTGTGTCAGGTGACACAAAATTCTGCAGTAAAATCAGCTCCTTTAAATACACTCCTATGAACTACAAAATAAATTTCTTTGTAACATGGGCCTCAGAGATGAAAGACAGTCTTCAAATTTGAGACTAAAATGTGCACAAGAATTTGAATTCGAATTGTATTTAAGTTGCAGGATGGTGGTTCCGAAACAGATCACTTTTTGTATGTAGTACCCTCATGCTTCTTTTTTTTTTTTTTTTTTTTTTTGAGACAGAGTCTTGCTTTTTTGCCAGGCTGGAGTGCAGTGGCACAGTCTTGGCTCACTACAACCTCTGCCTCCCAGGTTCAAGTGATTCTCCTGCCTTGGCCTCCCAAGTAGCTGGGATTACAGGCGTGTGCCACCACGCTGGCTAATTTTTGTATTTTTAGTAGAGATGGGGTTTCACCATGTTGGCCAGGATGGTCTCAATCTCTTGACCTTGTGATTCGCCCGCCTCAGCCTCCCAAAGTGCTGGGATTATAGGCATGAGCCACCAAACCCAGTCTCATGTTTCTTATTTTGAAGTTGAACATGCATCGGCTAATCAAAGAATTGTGGTAACAAACATTCTACCACAGGCAAAAACAGTAAAAGTGTATGTGAAAATAGTTACAGCAGGGCTTTAATTAATTAATTTATTTATTTTCCTCTAGTACTCATCTGTAACCTTGGTCACAGATGCTGTTACTGAAATACCACGGGTTCGGTCTAAGACCTGCTACTCACCATACAGACAGCCAATCACTGAGACAACACATATTGCCAACAAAAAATGCTTTAATCAGGCACTGTAGCCAAGGATCAGTCTCAAATCCACATCCCTGACCAAAATTAGGAGTTTTTACAGCAGGGAACAAACGTAACAATGTATGGGAAAACAGGAACTTGGGAGGGCTAAGGAAGTAATCTGATGAATGAGAGGCCTGGTGTCTCACTGTCTGGACTCTATGATCTGGTGAGTTTCAGTTCTTTGATACTGTTTGAGAGGCCTGGGGGTCCTTTCCTGAGGAAGGAACTCAGATGAAACAAATACAAGTTTAAAGCTTGAGGACCAGAAGGGTCAATTTCTATGTTTATCCAAAAACAAACAAACAAACAAACAAAAAAACTGTCTGTGGGACTGTTGGGTCAGTTTCAATAGCAGTTTCTTGAAGGTTCCTTTCTTTATTCTTGCTGTCTATCCTCCACCTACAAGCCGGTGTGCTAAATGATTGTGGAATAAATGAAAAGCAAATTCATTTATTCCACAAACAATCATTTAGGACATCCAATGTGCAGGTCTAAACTATTCCAGGCTTGAAGGAACATAGAGTAGGGTTAATGGTAATATGATTATTGAAAGACTTTATTTTAGCCTAGCTTTTCACACCAGACCTTTACACACAGTAGCATTATTTGGCTATTTTTTTTCTTTTATTTTTCCTTATTCCATCAATGGTGTCTGAAATTTGGCTATTTATAAAGGTTAAATTTAGTTTTTCACTTACCTTTGAGTTCCAATAACTAATGGAGGTAATATGAAGAAGAAAATAGGTTAAACTCAATTATAAGAAAGGAAGCAGAATAACTTAATCACAAACTAGGCACACATTCCTGAAAATCTAAAGTGATTGTTTAGTATAAAATCTAGATTCAGGCCAGGCGCAGTGGCTCACACCTGTAATTCCAGCATTTTGGGAGGCCGAGGCAGGCGGATCACGAGGTCAGGAGATCGAGACCATTCTGACTAACACAGTGAAACCCCGCCTCTACTAAAAATACAAAAAATTAGCCGGGCGTGATGGCGGGTGCCTGTAGTCCCAGCTACTTGGGAGACCGAGGCAGGAGAATGGCGTGAACCCGGGAGGCGGAGCTTGCAGTGACCCGAGATCGCGCCACTGCACTCCAGCCTGGGCGACAGGGCGAGATTTCGTATCCAAAGAAAAAAAATCTAGATTCAAAACTCTGTTCTTTTTGGATCACAAACCTCTTTGAAAATCTAACGAAAGCTAAAGACCCTGTAGTAGGCAGCTTCTGACAGGACTTCCAATAATACCCACTTCTTTGTATTCCCAGTTCTATTTAATCTCCTTCCCTTGAGTTCTGGCTGGACCTAGCAACTTGCTTCTAATAAAGAGAATACGACAAAAGTGAGGGATGTCTCTTCCGTTATTACATCACCAAAGACCATGACTTCTGTCTTACTAGTGCTATCTCTTGCCCTCCAACTTGTTCTCCTTTTTTGAAGCAAGCTACCTTGTGTGAGATGCTCCATGAAGAGACCCACGTGGCAAGGAAGCAACGGAGGCCTCCAGCCAATAGCTCACAAGAAACTGAGGCCAAGAACCCAACAAGGAACTGAATCCTGCCAACAAACAGGTGGGCTAGGAAGAGAATCTTCCCCAGTCAACTTGAGATGCCTCCCTGTGAGAGGCAAAGCTGGAGGACCAGGCTAGGCAGCAGCTGGATTCCCGACCCACAGAAACTGTGAGACAATACATGAATATTGTTTTAAGCTGTCAAATGTTGGCATAATTTGTTATACAGAAACAGATAACTACAACAAATCGCCTCTTCAGGAACGTATGTGTGTGTACAAATTCTAGTACACATTTTAGGGAATCTGGAAGTCTCTCTAAAGTTCGCAAACAGAACTCCTAGTGACCCAGGGATTCCAGATTAAGAAACTTCTAACATGATAAACTTCAAACAATACGCACAAAAGGCCTATAGGAACAATTTAACCATGCTATGAGGCCTAACAAACATTAGAATGCTTTTCTTCCATAAAGTATTAAGAAAGTTAAATGACTTCCAATATACTGATATCTTAGTACCAGTATTATCAAAGGTAAAATCAAACCAAGTGGTACCAAAACATTATTTTTGAATACAATATTTCATAGGTACTGAAGAATGGTAAAATAACTGAGACACTGTCCTCAACTTTGAGGACTTCACTATCTAGTTGGTGAGACAAACACAAACATACGCACACACAAAATAGCTACCATAACAGCAGTAAAAATAGAGATTTACAGATAGTATCTGCTCATGTACACAGTAAAGTGACTACTGAATTTTAATTATAACATAATTAAAATAAATACCTGTACTGTTTTTCCAAGTCCCATGTCATCACCAAGAATGCACCCTCTTCCATGGATGTAGTGTCCATAAAGAAACTGGGCTCCTTCTCTTTGGTAGTCTCTCAAATACCTATTGATGGTATAAGGAATAGAGTCTCCATCGTCAGATAATTTAAAAGCAACAGAAGATGATGGAAATTTTCGGTTTGGGAAATAAGGTTTTTCCAAATCTTCATCATCAAATATAAGATTCCTAGGGCAATCTTTAACAAATTTTACTTCTTGAAGCTGTTTAAGAGGTATTTTCCTTTCTTGAAAATCTGAATATAAGACAACTGCAAATGACTTGCCATTTTCATCCACTGTGACAGATTTTATGCTTGCTTCACGAAGTTTTCCACTATCTGGAGAAGGGGCAAGACATCTTTCCCCTGGATGCCATATGTCTGCAATAATAAAGAAAATAAAGTTTCCAAAGCTAGCTTATAAAGTAGCACCTCATTTATCCACAGCTATGAGAAAAAACACGTACCTCACATAAATGCCTTTTCCAAAAAACTGTAACAAGATAAATTATAACATGTATAGATATTTTTCTAAAATGTATTTTCAGATATTCTCCTATAATAAACAGAATAAAGGGTACATACTTTATTTCCAGTGGCTCCTATCCTGGCTGTGTGTCATCATCTTCCCTGGAGTTTAAAAATGTACATTCTTAGACACCACCTCTGGTGATTCTTACTTAGTAGACAGGGGTCATGGGCATCTGGTTTTATTGTTTTGTTTGGTTGTTATTGTTGAATTCAAAAGGTAATTCTGACGCACAGCCAGGGTTGAGAACCACCGACTAAAATATTCTTGCTGACTCATAAACATATATATACATATATTTCATGATATGGTAGAGTAACCGTGAATAGGACTTGGTAATGAGTAAACTAAAATCCTCTGGACAGCAATGCTTTGTGGTTCATCTGTCCACTTTTTTATAGTTATTCCATTGCCTTTCTCTAGAAACAGCTGTTTCTTTTCACTGCAATAGTGCTGCTTCTAAACCTTTACTTTAACCACTGCTTGTATACAGCTAACCACAGGAACCTCCAATTCAACTACAGTGATGTCACCGCTTTTTCTCTTCTGGGTTTTGAATAATTATTTGAAGAGATGAGTTCTAAGATCTCTTTTTGCTAAGAGTATTACCTCTCTGTGAACTTATTCTGAGATTAACTGTACAGCTATCTATTTTATTTTCTCAGAAAATATACCACTACGAATGAGGAGGAGGACTATAGAGTATACTACTGATACAATTAAAAAGTATCAAAAAAAACTAAGTAAAAATAATTTTCCAAATGGAATCTTATGGCAAGAATCCAAAAATAATTCTATGGCCACAAATATAAGACTACTAGGAATTATTTTTCTTATACATTTCTCACTGAGATCAGATGACCACTGGCAGTTTCCTAGGGTCTTCCTGATGACCTCGAGTTAGATTTTTATAACACTCAAGATTACAACAAGACATGTTTATACTATCTTAAAGCAAGAATAGTTCATTATGTTCCTCATCCATCAGTTGTTCCTCAAAAGTAAAGCCACTAACTTTGATGAGGTTATTTTACCATAACAATAATGAGTACACAGGGAAAAAACGTTCTCTCCCACTCTAATCTCTGGACCCAAACTGTTGACAACTGTTACACCATTCTAAAAGAGTATTTTAATGTCAAACTAAAGCCTTGATCCACTGTACAAGTAAAACAACATATGGGTCAATGGGCCCTATTTTCATAACAGTACTATTTGCACCTTAAAACCTAAAGCAACCCTTATACAATTCTTAACCCATTACTTACTTTTCCCATTATGTGTTTGCCTACCCTATCATTTTTTAAGACTTATTTCATTATCGATTATTCAACACACGTGATTTAAGCACAAATTATTCACCAAATATTTTACCACATAATGGGTATAAAATGAAGAAAACTAATGTCAAAAATGATGGTGACTAATAGTTTTCCTGCATCTCATTAATTGGCATCATCATCTAACCAACTTTTCAAGGTAGAAAAACATTAGTTAGCCCTTAAACTTCATTTAATATTATTCCTTACATCCAGTCTGTCAGAATGGCCTGGTTTTACTTCAAAAATGAATCACTCTCCTCCATGCCACCATCTCACTAAAGCAAAGGCTGGCAAACATTTTCTGTAGAGTCAGTTATTAGCTATTCATTACTTTAGATTTTGTAGGCCATACATTCTCTTGCCCTTGTAATGCAAAGGCAACCAGACAATACATAAACAAATGGGCAGAGCTGTATTCCAATAAAACTTTATTTACAAAAAGAAGTGTCAGACCAGTCTTAGCTCACAGACAGTAGTTTGCTGACCTCTGTCTTAAAGCATGCCACCATCAACTCTCCCTAAATTATGCCTAACCAGGCTCTCTGCTTCCAGTCCACCTATTTAGAGTAGGGTACACCATTATTCTCTATCTCATCATTTTATTGCCTCTGTAGCACTTACCATAACATTTAATTATCATGTCCACTTGTTTTTGTCTTTTTCTTCCCCTAGAGAGTAATTTCCTTCCCAAGAAAAAGTTTGTACTGTTATAAATTTTATCCCCAGGACCAACACAGAGTCACACAGCAGACATTCAATGAACATGTGAATTTATTACACGTTCTTTTTCTTTTCTTTTTTTTTAGACAAGAGTCTCTCTGTCGCCCAGTCCGAAGTGTCATGGCACAATCATAGTTCACTGTAAACTCCAACTCCTGAGCTCAGCCATCCTCCTGCCTCAGCCTCCTGAGTAGCTGGGACTACAGGTGTGCACCAACATGCCTGGCTAAAATTTTTATTTTTAGTAGAGACAGGGTCTCGTTTATGTTGCCCAGGCTGGACTTAAACTATCCTCCCGCCTCAGCTTCCCCAAAGTACTGGGATTACAGGTGTGAGCCACTGCGCCTGGCCTATTACAAATTATCGATCTCACAGATCCTTGGTATCTTGCGAGAGAGAAAACTAAAAAGTACATAAACATACACATAACTGTAAAAAGTACATTGGAAGAAAAATGCTATGAGAAGGGAGTACTGAGAAATGTAATTTAAAAGGGAAAGGGGTCTAAGAACTGTATTTCTAATAAGTGTACAGCAAGTGCAAAAAAAAAAAAGTCTTAAGGGAATCACACAACTTATTGGAGTATTTTTGGTTTCTGAGTCTGGGTAATTTCTAGAACGAAAAAAATTCAGCTAAGTTTGAGTTAGAAATGGAATCTCTCAATATCCAAACTACAGAACAACTGCTTAAATTGTGAGGATTTCCTGTTGGATTTAACAGGGTTAAGTCTCCTATAATTTAATGAGTCGAAATCATTTGTTTTGGTTTAAACTAATTACCAATTCAATTCATTCTGGTGATGGGGTCTCTCTCTCTCCCTCTTTCACTCCAATGGCCTCCTCGCTATTCCTCAAGCATGTTCCCACCTCGGGGCCCTGGAGCTTTCTGCTCCTTCCACCAATAAATACCACAGTGACTAGATCTATCAGAAGGAATGAACGTCCCAGTCACCATAATCTCCACTCGGCAGCTTCATCTATTTATTTTTAGCTGCCAGTCTCCTATAGGTACTTATATGTGTGGCCCCCGAATTACCGCGTCATCAACTCCTAGACCTCAGAATTCAGGCTTGTAACTTGCCCTCTCTGAGCTTTAGCTCTGAATTCATCTATTTAATGAGATTGATACCTTCCTCAAAAGAAAGCAAGTAAACAATCAGCATATTGCTGGGCTCAGGAAAATCACTCAATGCCTGGTAGCTTTTGTTACACAGCACAATTATTAATGAAAGCTATTCATTTGGGTGCCAGAAGGCATCCCAGATGACTTGTGGTAGATTATCACACCTTCTTAAACCTCCTATTTAAGGCAGAATATAATGCCCTGACTCAATAGGCAATAAATCTCAATTGAACTAAATACCTCAACCTTCATTTACCTACTTACAACAAACTTCTGCCATTCACTAACAACGGGGCATACAACGATAAAGAATGAAAATAACGTTTACTGAGTGCTTAATATGGGCCAGACGCGGGGTCACATAAACGCTTTGCGTATTGTCCACGTCATTCAATAATCACAAGAACCTAGTAATGAACCCAGTTTTACAAATGAGGAACCTGCCCAAAGTTGCTCAGCAAGTAACCGTCAGAGGCAGCACTAGATCCCAGGGGCTGACCCCGAGTCCAGGTTCTCAACACTGAATCGGAGATTTGGTCCCAGGCCTGCAGGGGGTTCACAATCTGCAGCTTGTCACGGAAGACGATCTACAGGGCAAAACCCCAACCCGAAGGGCCCCGGCGAGAACTGGTCCAACGCAACGCAGCAGACAGGCCTCTGGGTAAGGGGCGAGCGCGGAGCTGGTACCTTTGCCTGCGGTTTCCGCGCAGGGCTGCGGCGCCGAGGGATCCATCCGGCCAGGGGGAGGGGCCGAGCCCGGCTGCACGTAACACCCGGAAGGCGGAGGACAGCGAGGTGGCTGGCCGGTGGGCCAATGGCGGCCAACGCCACTTCCGGTCGCCCTCCGAGCATCGCTCTCCGGCAACCCGAAGCCACGGGAAGGAGGAGGGGGATCCCAGCTAAGGCAGCGACTAAGGGGACCCGAGGAGAACGGGAGGGCGACGTCCGGAGCGGCGGCAGAGCCACGGGACGCTGTGTGAGGTGTTCACCTAGTTCTTTCGGGCTCCGCCGCCGCCGGTGGAGAACACGAGGCCAGCATTGCGACCCCCAAATCTTCTCCTCAGGCTCTGACCTCAGTCTCCTAACCCCCGCAACTTCCAACCCGGCCTTGGAAAATCCCGCGAGAACGGGCTGCCGAATTGTCACTGGGATCTCGCGAGAACGAAATCTTCCTTTCCGTGGGCGGAGCCATCTTCCCGACGTCTCGCCCCTAGGAGGCCTGTAGCAGGAAGCGCCGCGGGAGTTGCAAGTGTCGCGATGTTTGAGGTCGCTTTGTGGGCCCGGCGCTGAGCGACGCTGGATGTAACTGGGGGGCTTGGGAAGGCAGTGGCTGTGAAGGGCCCCTGAGGCGGTGGAGGCCTGGCAGAGGGCGTCCCGGCGGTTGCGGCTTTTGGCTTCTCGGTGGAGCTTGGTTCGTCCGTGGTGGTGCCGCACCCCAGGAACTTCCAGGAGCCAGTCCCTCCTTGGAGAACTTCCCGGGACACCCACAGGTGCCAAGTGAAACTAGCGCGTTTTCTTGGATCCTACACTTTGTAGTGAATCATAAATACTTTAAATACAAAGCCAACAACATTTGCTGGGAATAAACGTAAAAATACTGTTAAAGTGTAAAGTTTTCCTCCGTCCCTCTGACGTTTCTGGCGGGTCGTTGAACGCGGGAGACTCAGCCGTCTGCTCTGAGCCCGGAGCATCCGAGGCGGCCGCGCCCACCCGCGAGGTGCAGGAAGTTCACGGCCTCACGCTCCCAGGCAGCGCAGACAGACGGATCCTTGGTGGCTCCCGCGCTTGTTAACATTTGTGTGCGCCAAGGTATTTCATGGATTGAGTGAAATACCTGACGGGGCCTGTATCCGTTCCCTATTGCCGCAATAACCAGTGACCACAAACTTTGTAGCTTGAAACAGCACCAATGTATCATCTTGCGTTTATTGTCTCGCGGTTCTGTAGGTCAGAAGTACTACCTGGGTATCACCCTAGCTGCACTCCTTTCTGGAGACTCCACAGGACCGTCCTTAGCTTGCCTTCGCCAGCTTCTGTCAACATTCGTTGCCTTTGGCCCCTTCCTGCATCTTCAAAGCCAGTGATGTGCCATCTCCGACCCCTCCATCCTCAAGTCTACCGCTGATGGCAGCTGGAAAAGATTCTGAGGGCTCACCTGAGCAATCCAGGATCATCTTCCCATTTCCAGGCCTCTGCCCTTGATCACATCAGCGGAATCCTTTTGCCATGTAAGCTAATATATTCACGAATTCCAGAGATTAGGAAATAAACATCTTTGGGGGATCATTATTCTGCCTACAGTAGTGTCTTAAGAAAACAATATGGCTGTTCGCTCTGCAAATAGATCTCAATTATTTGGCAGATACTAAAAACCAGTAGTATGTGTTCATAAAATGCTTCATTTAAAATATAACTTGTTTGCTTACCAGCAGGTAGTAACTTTAAGCCTAAATGAAACATCTAACTCAGCCATCTCTGTGTGAGATGTTGGCCAGGTCACTTCTCTGTGTTTTATTGTCCTCACCGATCACCATAACAGTGAGGCTAATAATAGTAAACTACCTAAAAAGGGTAATTGTAAAAAATAAGATAATTAAGTAAAACTCCTGTAACAGTGACTGGTCATAGTAAGGAATATATGTGTTGTTATTACTGTTATTAGCAATGGAATGCATCCACTTGAAAGTTGCATTCTACATAGACATTATGTCAGTTTAATATTTTGGCTAATAGGCCAGGCACGGTGGCTCATGCCTATAATCCCAGCACTCTGGGAGGCCGAGGTGAGCAGATCACGAGGTCAAGAGATCAAGACCATCCTGGCCAACATGGTGAAACCCCGTCTCTACTAAAAATACAAAAATTAGCTGGGCATGTGATGGCACGTGCCTGTAGTCCCAGCTACTCGGGAGGCTGAGGCAGCAGAATCGCTTGAACCCAGGAGGCGGAGGTTGCAGTGAGCCGAGTTTGCATCACTGCACTCCAATCTGGCGACACAGCAAAAAACACTACTAATTATAATTGTAATTCTTGATTCTAACATACACCCTGATATTGGAAGTCTTAAAATCTAGAAAAATCTGCTTCTTGTTATTGATGGATTGTATCTCTTTTCACATTGTCCCTAAAATCAAAATGCAAATTGACATTTTAATCAAGCTTATTTTTTTCCCCTACAACTACCAGGGAAGAAGTTTGATTTTTTTTCCCTCTCTGAAATGACTAGTTGTGTAATTTTGTCTTATTTTTCCAGAGGTCCATTGAGTTAAGATGTAGCTCTTGACAGAGCTGACCTCTAATTAGAAGTGATAAGCAAATTCAGAAATAAATTTTGGTTTAAATGGAAGGTATCATCTGGTTGAAGGAATACCCTTGTGACTAACAAAAGAGGAGGATACCTCATTTTCTGAGTGTTTATTGTTTAACCTCACTGTTGTACTTACAATGTATACTGAAGCAGAAATAATCATGACATGAAAATACGTCCTAGTGAACTAGTTGCCTCGTAAAACTAGATATCCTCAAATATTCCTTCCCCCACCTAACAATAGCTTTTGTCTTTGCATTGATATCCTTGTGTAGGTGCTGATATTGTGAACATCTACCACTGTCAGTCCAGTCACTTCAAAGTTAAATTGAATATCTTGTAAAATATTACGGAATTCCTGTAGTTAATATGTGTGATGTTGGATAAATCACATAAATGAACTGAATCACATACAAAACTTTTGGCAAAGGAGGATCTAGCAAAAATTAAGCCAATTATAACTACAGAAGAGAAAAAAATAACACAGATGGTGATAACACAGCCATTTCAAAAGAGGCTCATGGAAGGAAGGTTAAACCCACCAGTAATTTGCCAAAAAATAGTCTCTCTTTGTCTTCATACTGCAAGAGTCAAGTACATATCTGTATGTGGTTGACAGATCTCCAGAACTGTGAGTTAATGTAGCAAAAAGGCTCCAGAAAAAAATAGATGTGAAACTCTTAAGACAACACGAGAAATTAAGTCTTTGAGTTTCAGTTAGATGATTTTAGGTTGCAGCATTTCTCCATTCATACATTGTTCCAGCCAATGGGAAAAAAAAGAAGGAGGAAGCAAAGATGAATGAAGGCAAGAGAAAGAAGATAAAATAGATCTGTCCTTCCTTGCCACAAATAACCTAAATCTTAAAGTTTAAAACTCAACGTTGTACAACAATGTGAACATACTTAACAGTATTGAACCATACACTTAAAAATGGTTAAGAATGTACATTTTATATAATGTGTTATTTCTTACCACAATTATAAAGCAAAACACAACAAAAAAGCTCCGGCCAAAGAAAGAAAAATTTGAGGCTTGAACGAGGTATAGTGAAAGATATATAGAGTAAATGTTAGAATATTCAGCAACACCATTTTTACTTCATAGACTCAATAGACTCAAATAATAAAACATTTAATACCTCATGTCAGATAAGTATAAAAATCCTGCAACAAAACACCAAGAACTACTGGTTGAAATATGTTTATAGAAACTCTCAAGATGTAAAAGCCAATGCTTATACACTGTTGATGGGAATGTAAATTAGTACAACTTCTGTGGAAAACAGTATGGAGATTTCTCAAAGAACTAAAAATAGAATTACCATTTGATGCAGGAATCCCACTACTGAGTATCTATCCAAAGGAAAGTAAATCATTATATTGAAAAGACACCCATACTTGTATGTTATCACAGTGAAGTTCACAATAACAACATCATGGAATCGATCTAAGTGTCTATCAAGAGATGACTGGATAAAGAATATGTAGTATATAAACACCATGGAATATAAAGCGGCCATAAAAAAAAAAAGAATTAAACCATGTCTTTTGCAGCCACATGGATGGAGCTGGGCGCCATTATCCTAAGCGAAATGACTCAGAAACAGAAAATCAAATACCACGTGTTCTCACTTAAAAATGGGAACTAACTAATAGGTACATATGGACATGCAGAAGGAAATAATAGACACAGAGGACTCCAAAAGTGGGTAGGATGGAAGAGAGGTGAGGGTTGAAAAATTATCTATTGGGAACAATGTTCACTTTTTGAGTGATGGGTACAGTGGAAGCGCAAACCTCACCATTATGCAATATATACATGTAACAAACCTGTACTGTACCCTCTGAATCTATAAAGATTTAAAAATAAAAATAAATCTCAAAACACATAGCTGAGCTTTCAAGAAGTATGTGAAATACTCATAGACCAAAAATAAGGAAGGAACTGAAAACTAGTTTATTAAGATGGCACTTATACCACTCCTTTCCTGGACACATTTGTCTGGCTCTGTTACAAAAAGGTCTGAATTTTAACAGGCTTCTGGGAGCAGAAGACATAGTCTTAAGCTCCCACAACGTCCCACATTGAAACGGAGCCTCTCATTTGAAATCAGAAAGCTTGCAAGGTGAGCTAGAAGAAAAAAGTCTGGACAGCAGAAAAGGAGGAGGATGAAGAAGGATTTGTCTGTCTTGGCATGGGACTTTTGAAGGGGTATTGTTAATTCCGTCTGAAATGTTGAAACCACAGCTATGCCCTCAAATTTAGGATTTGAATGTATACAATCTGCATTACCTAGGAAACCCCAAGCCAAGATAGTAGCGTAATGTAGTGCCCGGTTAATTGCATCTAGGTTGCTAGAAAGAAGCACGCACATCCTTTCTAGAGGGAAACGTTAAAACAAGGACTCCTCGGAATTTCTGGAGATAAAGCCCCATCTAACAATTCACAACCCGAAAGCTGCAAAACATACACAGAAACAAACCATCATGAACAAGGGCCAGGAGAGAAAACAAACAACAGAAATAGAGCCCTAGAAATTTTAGCTAATGGAAGTAATCGATAGAAGGGGGTTTATAAAGTGTGGTTAAAATACATGTTGATATTTTTAAAAACTGAACTGAAAACTTAAGAAAGGAAACAAGGCATTGTTAAAACAGATTTTTTAAAAAGAACCAGAACTTCTTAAAATAAAATTGATTATTGAGATGGAAAACTCAATGGTAACTTAAAGAGCAAATTCAACATAGCCTACTAGAGAATTTGTGAACTGAAAGATCTAAATAAACAATCCAAAATGCAGGACAAAAAGGCCATGTAGAAAACATAAAAGTCGAAAGAAATGGAGGCTAGGAGGCAAAAAATGAAAGAGTTGGGGTAGCTCAAAATATTAATATTATACAAAACAAGCTTTAATGCAAAAAGCTTTAGGGACAAATAAATTAACTACATAAATGATAAATGGCTTTTTTTTCTTTTTGGATATGGAGTCTTGCTCTGTTGCCCAGGCTGGAGTGCAGTGGTGCAATCTCAGCTTACTGCACCCTCCCCTGCCTCAGCCTCCCGAGTAGCTGGTACTACAGGCGCATGCTGCCACGCCCAGCTAATTTTTTTGTATTTTTAGTAGAGATGGGGTGTCACCATTTTGCCCAGGCTGGTCTTGAACTCCTAAGCTTAGGCAATCCACCCGCCTTGGCCTCCCAAAGTGCTAGGATTATAGGCATGAGCCACCATGCCCAGCCTCTTTTTTTTTTAAACCAAGGAGGTAAAAATGTTCTCCACCTAGAAATCACTATTGAAGAATATTTTTAAGAATGATATATTCGGAAATGTAAAAACACATTTCTAAATAAAGGGAGCCAGAGAAAAAATCATGATTGCCGAGACCAGCTCGGCTGGGGAGACCCTAACCCAGCAGCGCTAGAGAAATTAAAGACACACACACAGAAATATAGAGGTGTGAAGTGGGAAATCAGGGGTCTCACAGCCTTCAGAGCTGAGAACCTCAAACAGAGATTTACCCACGTGTTTATTAACAGCAAGCCAGTCATTAGCTTGCTGTAGATATTATAACTAAGATAACTTAGTTTCTGTAGATATTAAATTAACTAAAAGTATCCCTTATGGGAAATAAAGGGATGGGCTGAATTAAAGGAATAGGTTGGGCTAGTTAACTGCAGCAGGAGCATGTCCTTCAGGCACAGATTGCTCATGCTATTGTTTGTGGCTTAAGAACGCCTTTAAGCAGCTTTCTGCCCTGGGCAGGCCAGGTGTTCCTTGCCCTCATTCCGGTAAACCCACAACCTTCAGTATGGGCGTTACGGCCATCATGAACATGTCACAGTGCTGCAGAGATTTT